AGATTTCTCGAGCTTTTATTTGTCCTGTATTTTTCTACACGTTATCTAAATTGTTAAGGATTATCAGCCCACATGGGAGATCTAGATACGTGATGAGTTTAGTTGGATTGTTTTATCTGATCTCCAAGTTTTTTTCTTGGCGACTTTATTATTGAGATTAAGAAACACGCATTTCATAAACATGATACCACAGTGAACCTTGAGTAGCCTGTGTGTGTGTGTGTGTGTGTGTGTGTGTGTGTGTGTGACGCTCCCCCAACACTGCACCATCATACTTCAGAACGAGGAGTCCATATTCATCACCTTAATTTATGTGTTTATACAATTCTATCTGATTAACGAAGCAAGATATTAATATTACTGGATGGTCGTTAAAGATTATCTTCTTACTCTTCTTCTTCCTCTTCTTTTAATATCACACATTAAAGACCTTCTCTTAGCGACAAACAACCCAGTTCATTCTTAAGCGCAGACGGCTCAAGCCTCTATAGATCTTTCACACTGATTCAAAAATAAGATTTACACAGCCAGACAAGAGACAGCCTCATCTAACACACGTCTAGCTGAGTGGGGTACATGCAAGTCCCTTCAACACCACTAAAACAAAATACATACTATTTAGTGAGAAGCGTAACACACACCATTCATTAATAAGTCAAGCTTGGGTAGTAAGATGACTCGCTATAGTTTTCCAGAGGCCGACATAACATAAACGAGTGTACAGAGATGTGCTGACAAGACGTGTTATGTCACCTAAATGATTGTATTACTTTAGGATATGAGTAAGTGTGTTTGGGATATTTCAACTGGGTGTTGTCCTCCCCTGTCACTTACTACACAAGTCTTACATTAATCTCCCTCGTGTTTCTCTCTTTAAGTTTCTACCCGCCTTCCTTCCTTCCCCGGTATTGGTTAGGTTAGGTTAGGTATAAGTGAGATAGACAACGTTAAGCTAGGTTTGAGGTGGGTTAGGTTAAATTTAGATAGACAACGTTAAGCTAGGTTAGTTTCAGTCAGGTTAGGGGTCGGTTAGATAAAGTCAGATTAGCTTACGGGTAATTAAGATTAAATTAGTTAGATTAATTTATGGGATCAGGAACTACTGTGTAAAGCATAAAGATCAAGACGATGACAAAAATTAAAGAACACTTGAGAACGAAGGAGCTGATAACGGTGACGACCCCCAGGTGTGTGGTGTAGTCGTCATCAAGGTGCAGGTGAGGTGTGAGGAAGAGACTGGCCGAAGGACCTAAGGATATAGTTTAGGATGCCTACACAAGAGACCAGAGAGAATAAAGGTGAACGATTAAATGAAGATGGCGGTAAGGACATTTATGTGGAGTGCAGGTGTTTACGACTCAAGACACACTGGGGGAAGATGTCATTAATTAGTCACAAGTGTTTGAAGTGTGAGGTACAGTGAGAGAAGATGAGAGAGATGAGGTAGTGAGAGAAGATGAGAGATATAGGTCCAGTAAGAAAAAATGAGAGAGAGAGAGAGAGAGAGAGAGAGAAGACATGAATGAGTGACACGCCTTGATTATGAGGAACAAGACATGAATGAGAGACATGCCTTGATTATGAGGAACAAGACATGAATGAGAGACATGCCTTGATTATGAGGAACAAGACATGAATAGGACGTGACTTGCTGCATCGATTTTTTTAACTTTTCTATAAATTGAAGGACAACATAAAAATGTCTTCACACACACACACACACACACACACACACACACACACACACACACAGCGGAGGAGGTCAGTGTTGTTGGTGAACCGGATGAGATAACCATCTGACTCCTCCCTCACCGCCGCCACCACCACCACCACCTCCGTCACGTAAACCACCACAACTACCACCGTCACGTAAACCACCACCACCATTACAACTACCACCATTACCACAACTACCACCATTACCACAACTACCACCACCGCCACTACCACGACAGATAGAAAAAAAACACTTTCACTGAGTTAGATAAATATTATCATAGGCAGAAAAGTAACGTGTCGCCCACAAGATTTGAGAGAGAGAGAGAGAGAGAGAGAGAGAGAGAGAGAGAGAGCTACCACACTGTCAGGTCCTGGACACTAACAAGACGTTCTTCTCTACTACAAATTAGCATAAGCCCTCGGTAAGGACCCCCAGCCCGCCCTTAGGGTAATTCTCACCCTAGGGGGACCCCATACGAGGGTAAATATTTAAGGGGAGAACATGGGGGAGGCTTTGGGGAAATAGTACAGGGAAATATTTTAGGAAATGTGAGAGAATATGATAATGTAGGGAAATATCGGGAGATTGTTTAAGGAAATAATTTTATAATGATGTAAGTTAGGGAAAAAATGGTAATACAGTATAAAAAAAAATCTTGAATATTCAGATAAACAGCGAGACGATTTTAAGAAACAAACAGGAAAATAAGGAATCATTAAAAATTAAGAAAATATTCAACCAATGACTAGAAAAATAATCAACAGAATGAACACGGGAATTACTGAAATATACAGATAACACGGGGAATAGTTCAAAGCCAGGAATAGGTTAATAAAATGAGATTGGTTAAAGGCAAGAACGTGAGAATATATAGGGAAAGAAAACGGGAATACCTAAAGAAAACGAGGATAAAGAAAACGGGAATACCTAAAGAAAACGGGAATACCTAAAGAAAACAAGGATATGTAAACAGAAAGGTTCAGGTTTATTTATTTACATCAAACAAATATGACTTGTGAACTATTAAGGAAAATGAGTTGGCTCTATGAAACTGTGTAAAGGTTAGGTAGATGACTGGGAGGAGGTGAGGGGAGGTGAGAGGGAAGAGGGGAGGGAAGAGAGGGGTGAGGGGAGGGAAGAGAGGGGTAAGGGAGATGGGTGAAGCAGAATGGTAAAGTGGGGTAAGGGGGAGGGAAGAGGGTGAGGGGAGAGGGGTAGGGCAGATGGGTGAAGGTAGGAGAGGGGAGAGGTGAAAGGGGGAAGAGGGTAAGGGGTGAATGGGGGGAGGGTGCGGAGAGGGTAAAAGAAGGGGAATTGGAGACTGGTGAGGGGAGAAGAGAGGGAAGGATGAGGAAAGTGACAGAATGGTGAAAGGGGGTGGAGTATGGGACTAACGAACACACACACACACAAAACATAATTCCATTCAAAACAATTAACACTCCAGTACGTGTTGATGTCCTCGCGCGTGTGTGTGTGTGTGTGTGTGTGTGTGTCAAGAGCAACCAGCTATGACACCGCCAGCCCGACTGTCAACGCCAATCACGACCACACCAACCACCTCTTAATTACTCAACTACCCTCCTAATCACTCACTCCGGTCGTCTTATATTGAATCGAATTTCTTTATTAAACTCGTAAAATTATTAAGAAAAAAATCCTTTATTAAATTGTTTGATTAGCCAGTCTGAATACCTGTTGATTGGTTATGAATGATTAAATTGTAGCTGTTTGATTAGCCAGTCAACAACCTTGCACACCATCAACTACTAAATTGACCAATCTCAAAATTAGTATAAGCTATTTAGTCATCATTAACCTGCAAGTGTTTAATTTATTTATAAAAAAACAACCAACAATTCTATCTATCTATCTATCTGTCTGTCTATCATATGTATATGTGTTACCTGCCTCACCTGGTGTGTTAATAATAATGGGTGAATCTAAAAATTTATAACACGTACATCTGTTATAGAATTAATTGCATGACACTTAATAATCTCACCCAAGAAAATAAACAATTTATACTGACAGTGAAAAAAAGAAAATATTACTAGATGATAAAATAAAAAGATGGATCACCAAAACAAACGAAAAAAAATACTATAAATAAAATTAACCGTAAATGAGTTTATAGTCAGATTTTATTATTAAAAATATTATTAATAGTTTTAATGTTTTATTTAGTTCAAAAGCCAAAAATGTTTAGTGTTCCCCATCTGACATGTGAGAATAAATGTGGAGAAAACATCCATTTAATAAAGTAGATAATTTGATCATATCTCGGACCTTTGTCGCTTACTACAGAGGCGCCTCGAGGCCCCACTTGTCCCACATATTAGGAGCTTCCCAGGACCAGAGCGTTATCCACCTAGCCACGACCTCCACCAACACTTGTATACTGCATTAAGTGACTCGTTAAGTAAGTCCAGGTACAGTGAGCAGGACCACACCACTGCATCACATCAGCCGTCACCACACCACTGCATTACATCAGCCGTCACCACACTGTAAATAATACACAGGGGACTTGAAGCCTTGAACCAACGTCAAGGTATTTAGGCAGGTGATAATTAGTGGACAATCTGTGTTTAATCCTCGGTGACACTGGCATTGTAAAGTGGTGTCATCAGATAGTGGTAAGCACTGTGGGTGGCCCGCTGTATAGTGTATGATACCGTGCCGCCCCGCCACCCCTCGCCGCCGCCCCGCCACCCCTCGCCGCCGCCCAGCCGCCCCTCACCGCCCCCCTGTCCATCAAAAGTGGCCTGTGACAGTTTTATAACTTGCCTCTTGTGTGATACTCTCTTAAGATGACGTCCACATACACCTCAGGTTTGTTTGTTTGTGGATTATTGTGTGTATGTGTGTGTGTCAGTCGCCAGGGTGTGTGTGAGGGGGGTGGCACAGTAAGGTTGAACAGGCGTGTGGGCGGGGCGAGGGCGTGTGAGTGAGGTGGAGAGCCAATAGCGAAGCGCGGCAGGTTGCGCGGGGCAGCACACTGAGGGGACACAACAACTGGTTCCCCACATCTGACGGATCAATCCCTGGTTATTTACTCACATTTTAAGTATCATAGAGAGGACCAAAAACCACCAGGTGTGTAGAGTAAACTGGCGGTGTGTAGAGGTAGTGGATGTAGTGGTGCGGGTGCCTGCTGGGAGAGTGAGGGCAAGAAGCTCCTCCCCCTTAGGGCACGTGTGGGTGTGGCCAAGAGGGAGGGCGGGGCGGGAGGTGTGAGGGTGAGGGTGGCGCCGGGGTGTCAGTGAGTGTGGTGGCACCTTCTCCTGCTGGCTCCTGGTCCACGCTCTCCCCACCCACCTACCTACCTACCGTGTTGGCGCCACCGTCACCAGCACATAATAAGGTGCAGGTGGGACGACGCCACGCACAAGACACGGTCTCATCCCCCCTCACACACTACACTACACCACGAATATACCCGCTCTTTTTTTTCTATATTATTTTCCTGGCTGTCCCCTGACCAACAGCCGCCTTAAAACCATTCTAACATTAACACGAAGGAAAGATTGGATCACGAATTCCTTGGGAAGTTCTTAAGTCGCGTAAGAGTGCGGTAGCGAGGTGCTGTTGTTACTCTGGGCATTGGCGAAGGCCCGCGACCCCGCAGGCCAGCCGCACCTCTCACGGTAATTGAGAGTGGCACCCCCGGGGGCAGTGCCAACCTGTGCCACTCAACCTCCTCCTGCTGCTGCTACACACCTTGGAAATGAGGACTGACTCAAGAAAATCAGATAAGGGGAATAAGGTCCGGGTTTAGAGGCAGGAGGTGAAGCAGTGAGGAGGTGTACGGTGCGACCCAGGGCACGACGTCCCTCTGTAGGCTTCCTTGCCACACAGCGCCTCACAAACTGTCCTCTATGTTGAAGGAATCCATTACAAATTATCAGACGAGACACAGCAAGAAAAAACACCATCATGGATATTACCGCCGACAAGTGTAGTTGTGTGTGTGTGTGTGTCCTGCGGGCAGTGAACTGTGCCTGTTGATTTGTTCTTAAGTGACGCGTGCTCGATAAGTCGTTTATAGTGACATTCTTGATAATATGGTCCCGATAACTTTTCTTTTGTGACCCTTGCATAGTCATATATAGCGCCTGGTCCCCTGTGTGAAATAATACGTAACACAACTATTTTTTTTGTGATCAGTGTGTAAGAATATATAAGGCACATGTTTATTTGGTGACGTGCGTAATACTATATGAAGCGCACCTATTTTTTGGGTGTGACGTGTGAGCGGTAATTTGTTCCTGGTGACGCGAGTGTGGTCAAGACACATCGCTCTCCATCTTCACCTGGTGACCAGTGACCGTCACCATGATGAGCTACAACATGGGTGGTGGCGGGAGCGGCGGTGAGGTGGGTTACCTGGACAAGGTGGTGACCGCCCCTGGCTCGCCTAGTGAAAAGCGCTTCACGGTAAGCCACCTCCTGGACCTCCCTGACCTGGTGAGGCTGCCCCAGAGCACGCCCTTCACCCATGACCTCACCCCGGCCCTCCACGCCCACCCGACGCCCGACCTGGCGGCACTACACCAGCTACAGGGCGCTCCTCACCTATACCATTCCGCCAGGTCCCCGTCCCTCCACCACCACCAACAACACCACCACCACCACCACCAGGCACAACAGCAACACACACCTTCAGTCCACCAGCATCATCCTGTTGACTGCTCAGTGGCACAGCAACAACATATCCACCACCATCAAAAGCAACAGCAGCAGCAGCAACAACAGCAGCAGCAGCACCACCATCAGCTGCAACAACAGCAGCACCACCCCCAACAGCAGTCTCAACCACAGACACAGCACACTGCTGCTGGTCAGGTTCGGGTACAGCAGCAGCAGCAGCAGCAACAACAACAACAGCAGCAGCAGCAGCAGCAGCACCGGCAACAACAACAAGGAACGGCAGCTGTCGCGGACAAACATGTGAGCTGCCCGACGGCGCCCAAGACGGAGACATCGCCCGCCTCTGCCCCCGACACCGACAAGAGCGACGGTGAGTGTTACCGCGTCCTTCACACACACACACACACACACACACACACTGGATGAGGTAGTCACAAAACAACATAATCAACTTTAACACTTAATGAACAACACATAACATCTGTATCAAGTAAATACGGTGATTTAAACTGTTATTTATTTGTGATTCATCACTTACAGTAGTTCCCTAAAACTTGTAATTTGTTTAGCGGTCGTCAATGACCAGTGATGTATTGAGCGGTCGTCAATGACCAGTGATCTATTGAGCGGCCATCAATAACCTGTGATTTATTGTGCGGTCATCAATAACCTGTGATTTACTGAACGGTCATCAATAACCTGTGATTGAGTGGTCATCAATAACCTGTTATTTCTTGAGCGGTGCTCAATAACCTATGATTTACTGAACTGTCAGCAATAGCCTGTGATTTATTGAGCGGTCATCAATAACTTGCGATGTATCGAGCGATCATGATACTAACAAAACCAATAACTTGGGTGATTGGTTATTTAATCTTCCTATGCTAAAATACCCATAGAAGAATTAAACTGCACAATTCTTTGTAATTTACTTGTACAATTAATTATGCCCCTTCAAAGGTATTTTTATCACCTGTACTCAAGCTAATTAATTAACACGATGAGAAAAATAATAGCAAATGTAAAATAACACGAAATTTAACAAGAAGTAACAAGGCAAATTTAACAAATCGATTAAAAAGACAAAGTGCGTTATATAAAGGCCGATAATCCAAGAACAATATCTTAAATCGGCCAACACCGATATCACCAAGATGGTCAGGCTATATATACACTGTTAGTTATCAGTGTAAATAATAATAATAATTAACAGTTTATTGAAAAAGTTCTGCAGCCCGAAGGCTGAAAATATACAATGGACATAAATGACTTATTACATACATTGGTGGTTTAACAAAAGCCTTCATTAGAGAAAGGCAAAGGAACATACAGTGAACATACAGATTAATGTAGGTGTTGAACAGCAAACACGTATTGTAGTAACTCCCTCCCAGATGGTGTCATGAGGGACCTGACGGTGTAGTAATTCCCTCACAGATGGTGTTATGAGGGACCTGACGTGGTGTAGTAGTTCCCTCACAGATGGTGTTATGAGGGACCTGACGGTGTAGTAATTCCCTCACAGATGGTGTTATGAGGGACCTGACGTGGTGTAGTAACTCCCTCACAGATGGTGTTATGAGGGACCTGACGTGGTGTAGTAATTCCCTCACAGATGGTGTTATGAGGGACCTCACGTGGTGTAGTAACTCCCTCCCAGATGGTGTTATGAGGGACCTCACGTGGTGTAGTAACTCCCTCACAGATGGTGTTATGAGGGACCTGACGTGGTGTAGTAGTTCCCTCACAGATGGTGTTACATGAGTGAGGTGTGGTCCCAGGCCTTCCTATCGTAGACAAATTAACACATCGCTGGTTGTTGTTGGGTCTCACGGGCAGTTATCACTGGGTACCTGGGACCTCACTGTGTGAAGGTTAACTTGGGTACGACTCGGCTGTTACTGTTGAGTTGTTCTCATTGACTTAAGCACTGTTCACCACAGTTCAACTCTGTTCAACACTGGTTCCATTCCTTTCCTAAATGAAATTGTAACTTCTGGCGAGAACTTGTTGATATTCCGGTGGGGAGGAGGGGTTCAGGGGAGGGAGTTGGTATGGGCCAACTTAACAGTTGACCTGGCTGCTACCAGAGCAGCGCCAGGTACGTCTTGACCCTTCAGTGGTCAAGGATAGTATGTGTGTGTGTGTGTGTGTGTGTGTGTGTGTGTGTGTGTGTGTGAGAGAGATAACAGTATACAGCTAATAACCTCTGCCCTCACGAAACACTCCATTAAACCTATACAATAACAACCACACTTACACCTCAACTACAACAAAAACAATAACTACGCAAGGAGGACACGAGGGAGAGAGGGTGGGGGAGAGTCACAACCAACACAACCACTACAACAGTAAACGTGTGTCGTATACAGCAGGTGTTGTTATATAGGGTGTGGAGGTGTATCATACAGTAAGGTGATAAGGTGTAATACAGGGTGTGTGGAAGTGTTATACAGGGTGTGTGGAGGTGTTATACAGGGTGTGTGGAGGTGTTATACAGGGTGTGGATGAGGTGTATCATGCAGTAAGATGACGAGGTTTACTACACACAAGACACCCCATCCATCATCTTCTCGTATACCCTCAACCTCTGCTTGGTGAAACTCCCGGTGTTGACAGGACGAGTCACTACAGTATACACACGCTTATTAATGTTAGTCCAGAGATAATTTACTGAGGTGGGAAGTATAAAGAGGAAGCCACTAACAAACGGGACAAAATAAAGCGAATCTTGAGTTTATTTAGAGAATGCTGATAAGTTATAGAGATGAAGCACTTGTTGTTAAGGTAATTTTGTTATTATTAGGTGAATTAATATTTGGTATCTGGACCAAGTTGAACCACCGGGCCAGCTGCTATCGGTGAACTGGATCAATTTGGTCAACAGCGATCGATTCATGACGAGAACTTTGAAATCTCAGTAATGGTCTTAAGTCCCATTAAAATCATACCGACGTACTTATTTCATTACTGTACCTGTACTTAATGAATAACTGTAACCGTACTTAAAATATTACTGTACCCGTACTTTATAAAAGACTGTAACCGTGCTTAATTCATTACTGTACCCTTTATGAACAACTGTAACCGTACTTAATTAATTACTGTACCTGTACTTACTAAATTACTATACCCGTACATTGTAACTTACTGTGCCCATATTTTATTAATTACTCTATCTGTATTTTATTATTTACTGTATCCGTACTTAATGAATTACTGTACCCGTACATTACAACATACTATATCCGTACTGTATTGTACCCGTACCATATAATGAGCCTGTACTCCTACTGTTATTTCTGTATAAACCACTTTCGTAATACTTAAATACTGTATCTGTACTTTAAAACTGTATGTGTACTTGAATACTGTACTCTGTATTTTAACACTGTATCGGCATTTTAACACTGTACTGTATTTTCACAACTGTATGGACTTAGTAGATGTCCGTCCGTTCCATCCGTTTTCCGTCCTTCCGTGTGTGTGTGTGTGTGTGTGTCCGTACATCCAGTAAACGTTTTAATTGGGACATACACAATACACGGATAACAACCCAACACGATCCCAAAAGACCAGTTCAATATAATCAGTGTATTTCCTTCATAACTCAGGAGGGTGTTGTAAGTTGTGGTCAGTTGTGCCTACTGTATGGCGTCGGGGGGGGGGGTAGGGGGAGCTGGATACATAACATACAACACTCAGGGGGTTAAATTACCATACCCAAGGGATTGTCATCGTACTCAAGGGGTTAAATTACCATACTCAAGGGATTAAGTCATCGTACTCAAGGGGTTAGATTATTATACTCAAGGGGTTAAATTATCATACCCAAGGGATTGTCATCGTACTCAAGGGGTTAAATTATCATACTCAAGGGATTAAGTCATCGTACTCAAGGGGTTAGATTATTATACTCAAGGGGTTAAATTATCATACCCAAGGGATTGTCATCGTACTCAAGGAGTTAAATTATCATACTCAAGGGATTAAGTCATCGTACTCAAGGGGTTAGATTATTATACTCAAGGGGTTAAATTATCATACCCAAGGGATTGTCATCGTACTCAAGGGGTTAAATTACCATACTCAAGGGATTAAGTCATCGTACTCAAGGGGTTAAATTATCATACTCAAGGGTTAAGTCATCGTACTCAAGGGGTTAAATTATCATACTCAAGGGTTAAGTCATCGTACTCAAGGGGTTAAATTATCATACTCAAGGGTTAAGTCATCGATTTTCATTGGTTAAGCCGGTAAGTCATCGTACTCAATTTGTTAATACTGAAGATAAGTTTGGAGCGACTTGCATTGACTTACAAGTGGATGTTCGTCATGGTTGTTAGTGTAAACGAGAAGTTATGGGTTGTGGATGTTGGTGTGGATTTGGCAGTTATGGTTTCTGGTTGTTAGTATGAACGAAGCAGTTACAGTCACTAGCTGTTGGCGCGAATCAGGTAGTTATGGCTTCTGTTTGTCCGCACGAACGAGGTACAGGTAGTTACGGTTGCTAGTTATTGGTGTGATAATACAGCGTGTAGTAGTTAACTGGTTGTTACGAGGACACGAGTCTTTCTTAATGTGTGTGAATACAGAAATCTCTCAACCACATCACACAGACAACTCAGGCCTGAAATAATTAAGACGCAACATGTGTACGTGTATAAAAAGCGCGCACATACACGCACACATGTGCATGGGGTGAACTACTTCCTTTAAAAGTTTTTCATGAGTTTACACATCGGACTAGTAGCATACATATGTTTACATACTGTACGTGCGGTGTATAGACTTAGAAATATGCGTTGTGTGTACATATGAACGTGTCTGGTGTACGTATTAATGTTGACATATGACCAATACCCCACAACAAATACAACTTACCACTGCACAAAATCCTGCTGCCCTTTATTTTAAGCCCCCTAATCTTGCCGGATACGTTAAATTAATTAGGTCCTGGGTCAAGTTCAGGATTAGCATAGGTTAAATTAACCCTTATTAGTTAACCTAGCCTGAGGTCTGTCAGACCCCCCCCCCCATCCCCTAAAAAAAAAATCCTACCATTCACTGAAATTTACACAACATATTCAATGTATTTACTCTAAATGAAGCCTAAATTTACGTATGTTGGTTATATAAACAAGGCGTGTATGGCGTTTATTATTATTAATGTATTACTGTGGGAATCATTTTTACATAACCCAACCCCAATCTAGTATAACCTGACCACAATCTAACAACCTAATCCTAATCTAAAGTAACCTAACCGTATCTACCTTAACTTAACCTAACTGTACCTACCCTAATTTAACCCCAATCTGACCTGACCTAACCGCACTTATTTTAACCTAACCCTAACCTAATCTAACC